ATCTATTGCGTTGAGACTTACTTTTCTTGTATTTATTTTAATATTATATGTACTACCTACTTGCATTGAGTTAATGTAAAAGAATTTTGACAACTCTATAATATAGAAGCTACATTGTCTATTTGTGTTACAATTATTTTTTTATTTTTAAACTGAAGTAAACCCTTATTTAACCGCTGCTAATACTGGCAAATAGTAATGTAAATATCGTGAGTGTAGTGGAATAACGAACTTTTCGCGTTTTCAACGTAAAATTGCGCGGTCAGTAGCGTCGCCGCGGGCGCTCGTGCCGTTTGTGTTCTAATTTCGAATGCAAATTTAATTTAAAGGAAACAAAACGATGCACGTTACGCGCCAATAACCCCTCACATCAAAATTTACCCGCGCTTGCGTGTCGGGAACGTTGCTCCTTACATCCATACCCTCGGGATATTATTCAGCGAACTTCCTTTTGAGAAATCGATTTAACAAACACTTTCTAAACGGACAGCCTAATACCAAGTTGTTTTAATTTTGCAAACTGTTAGCAATCTATACTTCTAGACTAATAATATAAAGTGGAAAGATTTGTATTTTTGGTTTTTGTGTGTATTTAAATAACTCAAAACTACTACACCGATTACAAAAATGTTTTTACCATTAAAAAGCTACGTTATCAGTATCACATAGGCTATAATATTTTTAATTAATAGTAACTTTTTTATTTCACGCGCACGAAGTCGCGAGCAACAGCTTGTATGTAATATTTTTCTTTTTTCTTCGTGAAATCAACGGAAAACTTCTTATAACTCAAGTGCTAATTACTATCCGTAATTTCATATATATTTATCTTGTCATTAAAATAAAAGTCTATCAATATTACCTTCACATATGTGGTGTCTATCACTACTATTTTTAAGAAGCTTTTAAGTGTAGAATTTCCTATACAAAACATAACCTCATACATAATTAAACAGGTTGCACGCAACTCAATAAAATATAAACACGTAAGAAAATTATTTTCAGTAACGCAGGAAATGAGGCATTCAATAAATGTAAGAAATGAGAAATACAAAAACACTCTTTTATCCCTTTCATATTCTTTGAAAAAGATAGAGATAACGATCTTTTATTACGTGTATTTTGGCAATACAAACTAATGGGAACTGCAACGGTTTTAGAAAGCCATAATCGTTATTTGTTCATACATTTTGTCGTTAGTCAGTATATAAAATAAGAAATTGTCACATATAGCGTCTGTAAAATTGAAAAGAGTTCACCGCGTAGCAACTAATTTCAAATGAAAAATGACTTCATTCCACATAAATAACTTCTTCCTTTGACGACAAACAACAAATGAGTCAAGAGTAAGTTTTTTATTTATATAACCGAGCTTTTATTTACAATTACCTAAGTTTGTAATCAATCAATAATATATATCTATACTAATATTATAAAGAGGAAAGATTTTTATTTTTGTTTGTATTGAAATAGCTCAAAAACTACTGGGCCGATTTTAAAAATTCTTTCACCATTAGAAAGCTACGTTATCAGTGAGTAACATAGGCTATTTATTATTTTTTTTTAATTTCACGTGGGTGAAGTCACGAGCAACAGCTAGTCTATAAATATAGATTTATGACGCACTTGTTATAAAGTTGATATTATAAAACGATAGCTTATGAGAAATATAAACAGAGGAGACGCGTCTGCACGACACCGCAAGGCCGGTCACTAACACAAGCTATGATCTTAGGCGTAAGGTGGTGTAACACGGACGTAGTGAGTCAGCCAATGAATCACTTTCACATTCTGCCACGCGAATAAACATCACTATGATCTACATCGTTATCGATATTTTGTAACATCATTAAATCTCTTTATAATCCCTTTTTAGATAAAAGTACACAAGCAGTAGTAAAAAACATTGATAAACCTGACTTAGTTAACTATACACTAGAAAACAGACGTAGAAAATAGACGTAAGTACGTGGAAAACATTGTACTATCTAAAAATTAACTAAATTCCATTTTCGAATTTAATTTATTGATTGAAGACTGCTTTTCATTTTTTGAACGCTTATGTCAAATTTTTCTTCGTTTAAATAATTTTCTTACCAGCCTATCCACGCGCGACCGACCGAAGTATTAACCGAACGAAATTACCGATCGTTTAACTGGAGTCCTTGTAACCGCTGACCGCTTACCGTCCAGTTTACGTATACGAACATTGTAATGACGTCTGAACAATGTGGAAGGCCCAATTTGTCGGCGCTACTAAATCATCCACACAAAGCGCCGCCTGATCTAAATCGATTTGTCCAAATTATGACCGGAAGGCGGTTAATATTACCGACAGTGCATCGCTCGCTTAGGGATGAATGCCTTATAACAAATATTTTACCCTCATTATGTTATAAGAATTTTAAATATACATATACTATAATAAAAAGAATATCTCTCCACCAAAGGAGACGAGCCAGATAAAACCTACAAGACAAAATTTAATTGGAATCTAATAAAACTAAAAACACTTTTTTCACTCTATTATAAGAAACTTTTAGTTTTTCTTTCAGGTAAATGTAATTTCGCTTTAAAGAGTTTAAAATTAAAATTCGTACGAATAATTAATAATTTGACCTCAATTTCAGCCGCTTCTTGTAACATCCTCCCCTGAGCCGAATTAACGAGATAACCTACAAGTTAATTCATCCATAACATGCAATTGTATAATTAACTACATATACTATTTAAGTTATAAATACTCGCAAGTACGCGAAGTGAAAACAAAATTTCGCGAATACTTACATCTTACTAATATTATAAATGCTAAATTTTAGATAAATGGATGTTAGAATTTGTAGCCTAAACGGCTCAACGTATCTCGATGAAGTTATGAACATGGAGGTAGAGGATAATATGGAAGTACACATAGGATACTCACTTGTGTTTTTTTTAATTCAACACGGATAGAGTTTGTGGGCGAAAGCTTATATAGTATAAAGAAGGATTAAATCCTTTTGATTCGTAAACCATGAAAAAGTCGAAATTGTGACACAATAATCATAAAAATGTAAGCCATGTTATTTAACCTATTGATTACTTTAGAAATAACATTTGGGCGATTTGATATATGAAATCATTGAGCAATTTTATGATTTCATTTATATATAACGTTTCCTTTAGTTTATCTATGGCACGTGTTTTAAATAAATGAATCCGGTTAGCAAAAACGCATTCGTACACGTGGACTAGTCGAAAAGATTGTATAATAGCAAAGTCAAGCAGGTGGGCGCCATGAGGTCCGTTAATTTGCCCAATATTTATACGCAAGATGGCGTCAGCACAAATCGTAGGTCATTACGGGCGTCATTTGGCGAGGTGCCTGTCTTAATGAGCTTATGTTCACGTAACCGTCTGCTAGGGTCAAACTAGCAGGGGGCGGTTTTTTTGAACTTCGGTCCCTCTGTGTTTTGACACTCGCAGAAATTGATACGAAAAAGGATAAGGTTTTTACATGATTTTGCCATTTTAAAGTTAATGGCGATGTAATCTTATAGTATTTTTATCTAACTTCTCAAATCAACTAAAAAGATTCTATATACTGAAAGCAATATTTACAATCTTATCTTTAATTTTTCAAGGAATAATAATCTAGTAAAAGTTTGTATAAAAAAACATTTTTTTAAAACTTCACGTGTTTGTTAAATAATATATATCAGTTTTAAATACGCATTTACGATTATCATTGCCTATGAGGTGTACCGTGAATCTTGAACAGTTGACAGAAAAATCGCTTACAACTCAAAAGAATAAGTTTAGTTAACTTCTATAACAAAGATAATTTAAGACACAACATTCTCTTTACCAGGTAACGCTTTCATAATTTTTAAACTAGTATCGTTTCTATTGAAAACGTGTAATTGACAATGGTGCTATCCGTAATTACCTTACGCCATATGGTCACCAGATGTTTCGCAAATATGAAAGAAAAGGCTTTTACACAGCGCGTGGAATAAACACCACCCTAAAACTTACCCCGAAAATATTGTAATAAAATTACTACAAGATTAACGTTCTTATACAATAGAATTAAATTCTTTCAAAATAATGGAAGCTTTATTACAATAGGTACAAAAGATTAAGGTAAAGAAATTAAAAATTAAACTATGTATAAACTTCAAAAATCGTATATTCCTTATGTATTAGTGAAAAATACATTCCATTTAATTGTTTATTTTTAAACGCTAATTTCACTTTACTAACATAATACTCCTAATAAATTAAACCCTGAACGTGTATGCCTATGGCCTATAGTGCCTTATTTTTTTGACCGACTTCCCAAAAGAAGGAGGTACTCAATTCGTCTGTATGTTTTTTTTTCAATCTACTACTTTTAATTTTGTTTTTTATTGTTTTAATTGCTACTATATTATTTGCTAGGTTTTGCCCGCGACTCCGTAGGTGTGGGATTAAAAAAAAGGTATGTAGCCTATGTGTTCTTCCAGACTATGTTCTACATCTATGTTAAATATCATTCAGATCCGTTTAGCCGTTTAGGCTACAACCTCTATCAAACATCCATTTAAACTTTCGCATTTATGATATTAGAGTATAGTATGATAGACGTTTTATAGATTCCTTAGTAGTCCAATTAATCATACTAATATTATAAATGCGAAAGTTTAGATGGATGGATGTTTGGTACGGATGTAGACGATAGTCTGGAAAAACACAAGCTACTCACTTTTTTTTTAATTTCACACGGACAGAGTTGCGAGCGAAAGCCAGCTTAACGTAAAAAATATTAAAGTTCCTTTTGATAGTCAAAATTAGCATTACTGTGAAAGTTATAGAAACATATAAACTTTGACAATTATAGTTTTAATAAAAACAATTGACACAACTTCGGAAACGGAACACTTCAAAAAACAACATAATTTATCCTCCACTTCTGAATCATAAAAAATGGTCTAGCGTTCGACCCGACGAAAACCGAAGGAGTCCCAAACGCACGGCGCTAAACGTCAGTCTGGCAGAAGCGGTCGTGGAACGTGCATGTCGCTCCGTTTGAACGACACCATAAGATACGGTCGCGTAATATTAACCGTATAGTTAAATTTAAAAATAAGTATTATAACAACAAATAAACTACCTCGAACTAATATTAGTGAATTAAGTGTTTATTAGTACTGCAAAAACAATTGAAAATATCCAGTGTCATTTCAAAAACTTTTAGAAACGATGGGTAAGTGTCAGTTTTGACTCAATATTATTATTTTATACGCTGTTTAATTGTCAACAGTTCGTAACGGAAAATAGTATTTTTTTGTCCGTATTATTGCCATTAAAATATTGGTAATAATTATTGTTTGTAAGTATTTCAAAATATTTTACCAAATTTCATCAAACTTTAATATTGGTTATGTTGGTTTTATTAGTATCCGCTTTTGAATTTTAATAATTTAAAATATGATTTAGTTTTATATTCTTGCGCTGCGAATTTAAAAAAAATTAAACACTGAGTTGAAAATGTTTTATTGATCATTTTGTCAAATGATCTATAACGGTGCGAGCAAATACCTCACTCGAATTAACTAAAAAAATATTTTATTATTTTTACAAAATTCGGGCTACCAGCTACCAATTTTTTATGTTTCTCAGAGTGTCTTACATGTAAAATGTATAGAATAAAATAAATATTTACGTTATATACCTATTGCAAAATGTAGAATTTAATTATACCTATGGAGTATGTAGGTATATTATGAGCATACTCGCGAGACGAAGAATTAGAATACAATTAAAATATGTATTAAAGAGATAACTATAATACCGTAACTGTTTATTGTTCCTACGATTTTATATTTCGTATCAAAATATAAAAAGAAAGTAACATTTCTACAATGTTTATTTTAAAAGGTATTATAAAAGTAAAACATTGTTATTTTAATTTTATGCTATTCGATATCAAATTGCAAAATACAGTTCCATTGCGTTACGAAAAAAAAATCGAAACCGTTCATTCATAAAATCGATTTGAAACTCATCGATTGTGTATCGATGTCAAGTAGCTAATTCCTTTTAGTTGAAAATCACGAGCGTGTATAATCGCCTGGGAAGCCGCAGCCTGATTTATGCTCTATTTTTTATGTGGATCGACCGCTACTAACTTCACGGTATGACACCGGCTGATATGATCGTGGTGCACTAGCGGCTGCGGACTGCGGATAGCCGCCCAACACCCGAGTGGAACAATCCGACACGCGAAATCGTGTTCGGATAATCGCTGTAATTAAAAATATAACACGTAGAAAGATAACCTAAAACCATATATATAACAAGGCAACACATTAATTCTTTATCCGTTAGTATTTTGAATGGAATCTTCAGTAATGCATTGCCTAATATTTATTTGATATCATGGCTAATTCCAGACCATTGCATGAAGTATCTTCTTATTCTCTTCTCTCATTTTCATCATAATCACAGTCAATCAATGCCTAATTCTAGTCCGGGATCTATAAAGTAACCCGATTCTGTAGGATATAAAATAAGCAAACTGAATCTGCGATACGATTCGCATATAACAGGTAGTAACATGTCGCGACGAGCCATGGCATCGAATCGAATATAAAGCTATTATTATGTACAGCTCATCACCATTCATAATAATGTATTTATGTATATTTGTATTACGCAAATTATGGCTACCATCTTGCAATAGATCTAATTTTGAAGGTTATCTAAAAAGAATCATCGACTTGGTACTTAAAAAACTGCAATCGCTACCTATATTTATTAGACCTCAATACGATGGGGTAAAATTCCATTGCGATATTCCAAAGATTAAACAAACCTTAATTGACTAAACAATTCTTAAACTTCTTATGAACATTTCTTACTTAACAACTAATAGTATAAAAAGTTGTATATACAACTAGGCTGTAGAAAAAATAAAATAAAAGTTATGAATTCCTTTTACCAGAGCAGTAGTAAAATAACAACTAACATACATGTTTTATTTTTATGAAAACGTAGAAAACACCGTTGACATGAGACTATAACGCGTATTACCGCAATATTCTTTTCCACTTTTATTGTTAATGATATTTTCTAAAATAAACAATGCATATAAGAAATTTCGTCATGAATCCTCTGCGAAGTACTCATAACTCTATTTAAAATATATCATATCCTATATTTATATCCATTTAAATAAGTATATAATCTTGTCGTTGGAAAAATAGGACAAGAATGCAGTTTATTTTCGACGGCATTATATTATTATATTAATCAGTCCGTTCCGAATAAGCGGTCCCTAATGTAAACAAATTTTAAGATCTAAAAATAACACTTCCTCCCTTGCAGAAATAGAGTGGCAATATTTTAAAACTTCATTTGAAGAAGTTTTTACCGTCGTTTCTTCTTTATGTAGTGTAGTAGCTAAATAGTTTTATAAATTTAAACAATGACAATTTTTATCCTTAGGCTAGATTCCTATCTCCGTTAGTGAGCCGATATCGCTAGCATTATTGTCAAAATAGATCAAATCACGCGAAACCTGAGCATACCTTATTGCTTAACATTTTTGCGTCTCTTACGATATCATCGAAATACCCATTACAATCGCTGGGGAAAAATAATTTAAAAAGATTTCCTCATCGACATTCGTTCCATTCTTCTGCGTATAAAGACAAATTCCGCAATTCGTTCGCTTCCCGCTTGCAAAACGCATACATTGGTTACTTTCACGGCATCGTAATAATGCAAAGAGTTGAGGAGATTAGAACATAATGGTGCCGTAGTGGGCGCGTGGGAACTCTCCCAGCGCTCACGTGCCGTTACACTAAATCCAACATTAATATGCTTGATTTAGATAAAAGCCGACTCTAATGAAGACATCACTCCGCCGGAGAAAAATGTACCAATAGATCTTAGTGACGATAGAGGCGACAAAGTAATGTACCGAGTTTCCGACTAGTCGATTAATTATAAAGAAAACAAAACGTTACGGCGTTGTTGAAATAGATAAAAAAAGCATCGACTTTTTCGGCTCCAACGATGGCCACGCTCGCCTGTAAATATTTATAAGGTGCTGTTGAATAATACAAGTGAATGAACCATACGAGACATTCAATTATACTCCCATTCATAAATCGGCAATGATTCTATGCGGGCGTAGGTGTTGTTCATAAGTCACCGGACAATAAATCAGACACGCATACATTAAATGTTGAACATAGTTACTTATGTTAACTACAATTTATATTATTCCAATTTGTCCATCGCCCAAAACTGATTTCACTGAACTGTTTTAATAATAAACAGTTAAGTGAAAACTAAATACCATTTCCTACACCTTGTAAACACCGAATGATTTGTAAAACCGGATGGTAAAAATGTCATGAACCACTGAACAAAACTGTTTGATACGCACTGCACAATAAAATTCTACTACAAACATGTTTTAAAGAAATTAAAACACAAGACGTCACAATTGTAATACTTCAAAAAATATTTTTTTATAAAAAGTTTGCAAAAAGAGGTTTAAAAGGGGCGCATACTGGAAACGCAACTTAGGGGCCACACCAAAACTGATGTTTAAGTAAAAACTTATTTAAATAAAAAATAATTTATTTACCAGCTATTAGTCGGTAAAGATATATTTCTCTGTCTAAGTTCCTCCTCAAAATAGATGTTCCCTTCAAGGTGGTGGTAGTATGATGGTTAAATACGAGTGCGTCCCAAGTTCCCAACAACATGTAATGACACGGGGTTTCCGGACGCTAGCGTTGTTTTCATTTATAGCAGTCGGAACCTTTTTAATGTTAGGAACATCCTTAATTTAGTATTACGAGGATTGTTGATATGAATGTATTGAATATTAATAAAAGTGATCATTATGTGCGGTGCGTCGCGTAGGTTCGCGCGCGTTTGACGTGCACCGGCGCGGCGTAGCGAGCAGCGGCGGGCGCTCCGGCCGGTTATGCTTGTGTCACACGAGGGCAGAACAGTAGACAATAAAAACCAGTACTGTTATCGCCTCGTGTGAAACTAGCATTAGTGGTTCCGGATATCGGACGTGTCGGATGTCGGGTGAGTCAGCGCACCCACGAGCTGCGCCCACGGCCCGACAGCACCCACAGACCTCTGCGAATCCTCACACCGAAAGCTTGAATTCACTTCACCTTACCGATGATCGCCCACTACACCATTATACTTGAACTTTGCGCTAAAAACGATGATATATGGAGTTTTATTTTAATTATTTAAACATTCACGTATTGTATCTACTCACTTTGGATCCTTAAATAATTATTTAATACTAGCTTTCGCCCGCTACTTCATTTGCATGGTATCAAAAAAATAAACTTATGTAGCCTATGTATGCTTTCAGACTATCCTCTATATTTTTGCCAAATTTTGTCGGGATCCGTTCAGCTGTTTAGGCTACAAACTCTAACAAACATCCATCCATCTAAACTTCCACAGTCATAATATTAAATAATAAATGATTTCGTTTAAGCATAACTAAACTAAAGCGTGTTTAATTGACAATAATTGTGATAGCAATTGTTAAAGGTAGTTAAGACAAGCGACAGACCATACCTCTAGTCTTCTACACCATGTCAAGAGCATGAACGCATGCGGCTTGCTAAAGAGTGCAGAAACCCGATCCGGATGCAACGCGCAGAAGGGAACAGCGAGTTGTCGCCTGCACAGGCACACATCGGTGTCTAAATTAGACTCAGACTTTGTTACCGTGACAGATTTAGCAGCGGCGTCTGCGGCGCGTCTAGGCTATTTGTATTTGGGTTTTGGCATTGGGCATTTCGCATTTTGCAGTCTCGTGGGAACCCGGGTTGAACGACTCTGGAGACAATACGGTCGCGAAGTGCCATCTCTTGGCGACTCCCCGCAAGCCCGCCCACGCCGCGTCCACACACTATCTCTTATGAGAAACAGCGCCGTTTATATTCATTGCTAAGTTATACACTTTTAAGCGTCTTGTACCTTGTTATGGATTAATATTTTTGTCGCATTTTTATAGCGTAGGTAGTAAAGATTAGAATCTCACAGTTTTATTTCAATCTAAATCTCCGGCACGCTACAGTTTGTGCAATACATTTTCGATTAAATTGAAAAACCAATAATAAAATAATTTTATTGTGCGCGTACTTAAAACTTTTGAATTTGAAACGTATGCTGATTTCAGCTACTTTATTTTCAGTATAACATTGGTCTAACAGCTACACTGTTAACTTCACCGTCTAACGAAAAAATTTATACATAAGCTTCATAACCATATTATTGGTTAGCTTTTTATTTTCACTACGATATGACTTTGCCAACAGTAAGACGCAGTCTGGTTTAAAGTTTTTTAACAAAATTTTATATTCCGTAGTAACAACTAGTTTTTTACTGTTCTGTTCATTTATTTTAGCCAACATTAATGTTCACATTAGGCACAGAACAAATAAACATTAAAACGCTAAAGTCTAGGCAAATATCCAAGGGCAGTTGCCGGCGGGGTCGATAGTTGGACGACTGGACGCGAGCCAGCAACCGCGACGCCGTTAATCCACCCTCGCAAAACTATATCGCCGGTATTACTGGCATTACCTGACCATCGAGCGATTACAATAGATTTAAACAACCAGACGGATTTAAACAGAGCTCAACGGCTGAACTTCAGCGGTTTCATTTGATACTGTCAAGTGCTGACTGCTAAGCGTTTTCTGTTTCGCAAGTGGAAATGTTAGAACACCTTAGGCGTTAGGGAATGTTCAACCAAATATGTATTAAATCTGAGTTCCATTAATATATTCTTGAATAAGTTGATCGACAGTCGTAAACAAGAGTGCGTGATGAAGTGCCCCCTATCGTATGGTAATCGAAATCATCGCGACTTTCTAAAAGTCACGCTACGGAACAGTTTCCGTGCGATTGCAATGTTTCGTGCACAATTTGAATTTCAAATTGACGAAAAGAAAATCGTCATCGTGTTAATGTTGATCCATTGTTGATTGCATTATCTTTTTAATGCATTACCTGCATGAGAAACTCAATTTACATCTGTGTTTAACTTTTAAAATTAACTTAAAAGAAACGAAGACTAGAAACTTATTCGATGACAATTATGCACGATTTCGAGGTCCGTGTTCCTATGAAGATAATTAAAGCTGAATTAATTAGGTTTGTACGAAATTGCTTCACGACCGTTTCCGAATAGTTAGCCGATTTCACAAAGGACTTAATTGGAATCGTAGACAGAAAAGACAGCGTGTATAATCGACATAACTTTTGACCGTGTCTATTGAAAACGGTATCAGAAAATAGTAACTGAAAATATGGTTCGTTGGTTTGAATCTTATAAGATAATCTTATTGGATATTAATCTCAGTTATGAGTATTCAATTATTGGTTCCTTATGTTTATGTCTTCCCTATTTATCCGTTTAGTAACAAGACTTCAGTATATTGATCATTATCAGTCATCGGAACGAAACATAAATATTTATATTTTATAAGACGATCAATATATTGTTTGTGATCCATTAAAATCTAATGTTTTTCTTGTATTGTTCCAGATGAGCGGCAAGCGCACGCGCAGCTATAGATGTGCCGTGCATCACAGAGATCGCGAGGTCAGCTCCGAAAACGACTTCCATTTACTTCTTGAAGATCCTACGTTTTTTGCCAGGTACCTTAAAATTTAAATTTCATTAATTAAAATTATGTATTTCGAAAATTATGATTTCTTTTTGAGCTAAGCCTAAACCTAAACTATATCTTTATTTATATTTAGACTAAATAGGTCGACCCTAAAAGGGTTTGTTGACTTTTTTGTATAAAAAGTTTATATACCGTATTGCTCAATATCCGGTAAGCCATGGCGTCTTACGTCATTTTCTAAATTACTCGTCATGTTAAATGCATATAAATTTTTCGTGTAACAAAATTTAAAATGTAATTACAAAGAAATATTTAAAAATTCGACAAAATCTAGAAGTGTTTTAGTACGTTATATCAATGTTTCAAATAGAATTTATGTCTTTCTTATACTTTTTATGTTCGGTTATCGTGTCACGATGACATGTGGTGTGGCTGTAACGATGAAATAGTTTAGAAATTACTTCAATAAGAGCCAAGTGTATCGTGAAAGTAAGTCGATTGAATGCGATTTGCAACGCACTCTTACGAAAACTCTCATTGTTATAAATGCTCTCTTGTCGACCGCTTTTGCTGTACCAAGCAATGTTCAACACTACCATAAAATCTGTTTTTCTATGTGTATAGCACATGTTAATGGTTATTAAAATGCTTTTGTATAATTGAGAAAAATGCTGTATTAAATTCAAATTAGAATTTCGTAATTTCTCATGTTTCTATCAGTTCTGATATGATCTTTTATGACTTGCACACACCGACATTCAATCTATGCAGTCAAGTTGGATATGTTATTAATGTAATATTTTCTGTTTGTAAAGGATGGTGCACTTAGTGGCGATGGAGGTACTCCCGGAGGAGAGGGACAGAAAGTACTACCAGGAGCGCTACACATGCTGCCCGCCACCGCTCTTTATAATCTGCGTCACTCTGCTAGAGGTAAACAAACTATGTTAATTGTCAAAGAATAAACCAGCCCTTGGATCCCGTACCCCACGTCATTCTAGGCCTAGGGGTTTTACATTTCTGAATGCTATAACTCTTGCCAATATTATAAATGCGAAAGTTTAGATGGATGGATGTTTTTAGAGTTTGTAGTCTAAACGGCTAAACAGATCTTTAAGAAAAATGGCATAAATGTAGAGGATAATCTAGAAGATTACATAAGCTACTTACTTTTGTTTAATTCCACTTGGACGGAGTCGCAGGCGAAAGCTAGTAAATAATACATTTTTTTTGCATAAATACAGAATGGCTTATTCCATTATGGGTCAGAATTGTTTTTTTACCAAATAAAAGGAAACGTTTTAATTACAATCTTCTGTCCTTGTAGAAAATCATAGATCTCATTAAAACCGTTTCACAAGGCATAAAACAATACCTTTTCGTCGGATCTTTTAATATAATTATCTACGACAAAAACAGGTTACTTAACAATATCTTTGTAAAAGCAAATACTTGAACAATTTGCTCACTTTCATCATGAAACCAATCGTTTGTTAGTAAATTGATTTATAAGATTTTAACCACATATCCATCCAGATAGAAATGTTCAACTGCCAGCCATACACCTTTTTTATGCATTTCGTATTGTCTCTGTTTTGCTACACGGCGAAGAACATCACTTTCTACGTGCCTAATGCCGTCGATCCCCGCTCCAGTTGGCTCGCTTAATTAAAAAGTGTAATTGCGGATTTCACATCGCGCAAACAACTCGGTTTTACGTGAATCAACAAACTTCGCGTATCCAGATACATTGTTTCATTTTGAGTTATATATGGCTTGAAGTGTGAATGTATGTATGAAATTCCCTTTAATTAAAAAATATTCAGAAATGTAACTAATATTGTAAATATTGACTGTTTTTGGCATAATTGATGGTTAATTTTAAAATATTTTCTTGCTAATCGTATAAATATGAAATGATAAAAAAAAATCTCATTAAGATTTTAATTGCAAATTTCAACGCTAATTTACTGCGTGTTATAAACGGTTGAGGAAAACGTCGCAGGGAAATGCATGACACACATATGAGACATGTGAAACTGACAGGCTCCGTAGATTTGCATCGGGACCACTAACATGCAATAAACTATGTTCTATTACTTAGAGAATGTGCCGCTTACTATTGTATAGTATTAACATATTTTCCGTTACTTTAATGAAAGGCGAATTACCACAACACACAACAATTCTAAGTTCGATGCGTTTTTGAATCGCTTTCTCGAAATGTTTTTAGTAAATTCTTCGTATATAAGAAACCAGCTGTTGCTCGTGACTTCGCCCGCGTGAAATAAAAAAAACATAGCCAGTGTTACTTAGTGATAACATAGCTTTTTGATGGTGCAAGAAATTTTGAAATCGGTCCAGTAGTTTTTGTGTTATTTCAATACACACAAAAATCCAAAAATACAAATTTGGCGTCTTTATAATATTAAGTATAGATGTGAATTTTATTTTTAAATACATATGTATATTGTTCTAGCTGGGTGTGTTTGCGTGGTACGCATGGGGTGCGGGCGGA